CTCCAGTACCATACAAATTACAATTCAATTTTTGTTTTCTCTAGAAATGAGTTGGGAGAATCGAAAGCTGAACCTCAAGTTATCGTTGGAAATCCAGGAGAAAATCATTCAACAACACAGCCAACAACAACAGATGGACAAACAACTGAATTAACAACAGTTGAAACAAACAAAGATACAAGCGAACCAGACTCAAAACTAAAATTATCTCATGTTATAATTATTTCAGCATTTCTCGGTACCGGAATAATTTTATTAATAATTGTGTTTTGCATACGAAAAAGATTCGCCAATTGATTAAATAGATGCATTTTGTATTCATAACAAATTTAATTGAGTAGCAACGTTAAATACAAATTGCATTATGCAATGATAAATGTAATATACTATTAAAATTGTTACAAATGACATCAAAGGATTTATCGCATTAATCCTGGACATTTGGTGAACGACATTCACTCAGATACATTGTAACATATGTCAAATAAAATACATTAAAAACAAGAAATCAGTGAAGGCAGTTGAAGTAGTTAGCTATGTTTTTTTATTTAAAGTTCCCTTTGCATCTCATAAAAGACACATAGGGAGAAAAACTCCATTTTAAATAGAAAAATCCATAAAATTCACAATTATTTAAATATATACTTTAATTTTTGATAAAAAACCTTCAGATGGTTGTATTTGTGCTATGTGACTCATCATATATGTTCATCAACATAATGTTTCAGAAGTGAAACATGTATGGAAGAAACGGTTTTATTATTATAAGTAAATTCTTGAAAAAAGAGAAATAAAATCAAAAAAAATTCTTTATGCATATATCTCTTTTTTACAAGACGTGGAATCGAGTATTTATGAATCTCAAATTATCCCTGCTGTATTCTTGAATGAACCCCCCAAGCACTCAATTTGCACTGTTAACCCGGGGCATTCGCACCGTGCGTCAGGTACGAAAACACGAAACAGAATACGGAGCGAGACACGAAGAAAGTAGTGTATGTGCGTATACGCTTCATTCCTTGTGTATTATTCGTTATTCTGTTTGCATGGCAAAAGCTGCTACGCTACATAACAAAAAGATGAAAAAGGGGTGAAACAGTGCAAATTGAGTGCTTGGGCCCTTCTATAAAATTTGGCAACTTGTGGAAAACCTTTTAGCTCTTCACTCTTTTCCGAAAGCAAATTTACACGGGATAGAATGGACTTTCAAATTTACCTCTCTCTAAATGACTGCAAATTCTCCAATCAACCCCTTTTAATCGCAAACTCTCGAAAATATAGTCACTTCCCTGAACCAAAGCCAAATCAAATTCTTAAAGAAACCGACTGTTGAATAACAAACATGAATATGTTTGAGTGCTGAAAATGTATCGCTTTCAACAAACATCATCGGAAAATTTTAGAAATTATTAAAAACCTTGATGAATCATAATTATTGACTAAATTTTGTATTTATATTTATGCACATGGAATTGTTTTGCTATTTGTCATAATAATGATGTCACTTTGCTTTGATGGTTAATTTCGACATAAAGCGTACTTTACCGATTAACAGTACTAATTCTTAATACTAATTCTGTTCTTTTAATTTTATCTAAATTGAATTAGATTAGATAAGAAATGCGTTTGCACACATTTTGAGTATTGTGATTGAATCAGTCTTCTTATCAAATAGAATAGGTTGCCAAAAATCAATATCAATATGTAAAAAAGGTATAAAATATGCGAACACGTGAAGAGTAATATTAGTTTTGTTGAAACCTTTAGCAATAAAGGTGTTTACATTCAATTTTTATTGCTTTTGATTTGTTTTTGTGACAAAATCTATCAGAATGAGTTTCATTCGTCTGCAAATTCTATTTGTGTTTGCATTTGTATTCCATCAAATCATCGCTTTGGGTAAGCTTATTCAAAAAAGTGAAGTTTTTTACTCACTTTCATTATAAAAAACATAAAAGGTGTACAGAAGATGAATATCTTTTAAATACAACCAATAGCTACGCCTTCAATTGTCACCCCTTCGACAGACGCACCAAAAATAGCTGAATTCGACTGTCGGCATGAAAAGAGAGAAGCGGAGTTTTCATGGAAACTAATTGGTGACACATCAAACGTGGACTCTTACACGATTGAGTACATGAATGCATTCGCGTTGAACGAATGGACGGTCGCGACAAATATTGATAGAAATTCGTACAAAATTTCGTTGAGTCCCGGTGCCACATTTTCGTTTCGTGTAATTGCAAAATATAAAGATGGTAAATCTAGCGAACCAAGTGAACAAAGTGAATTGTGTACAACAAAACAAGATGTTCCGTACACAAACCCAACAAATGTTGAAGTCAAGAGTGAATCTAAAGGTACTTTACGCGTTTCGTGGACACCAATGCCACAATTGGAACATAACGCACCAGATTTCATGTACCGCGTTTACTCGAGAGAGTATAGATCAGACAATGGGTGGAATGTCAATAACGTAAAACCAACCGAAAATAGTATCACGTTAAAGTATACAACATTCCATCGAAGAGAATTCAAGGTGATGGCTGTCAATGCGATGGGTGAATCAAAAGCGACTCCAAAAGTATTTGATGTCTATGTTGGTGTAGGTAGACCAAAAACGGCACCAAAGCAATTTCGTGTAACTGTGAGTTCCGATGTTGATCGTTGGGTACATGTCACATTTACATGGGAAAAGGTGCAAGAAGAGAACTTCAATGGATACGCCAAGGGATATCTTATTCAATATTGGAATGTAAATAATCCAAATGAAGCATTGCAAGACTTCCAGGAATATGGATCAAATGAAATCGCCATTAAATTGGCGGGCAATTGTCACTACTATGCCACAGTTCAAGTGGTGAACGATCAATATTTCGGTCCAATTAGTAATATTGTTGAATTTAAAACACCCGATGCACTTCCAGACCAAATAAAAGAAATGGTTGCAACTCCATTTGGATCGACTGCGTTTAAATTGCAATGGGATTCACCGAAAGACCCCAATCATCAAATTCGTGGATACAATATTTATTATCGAGACATTGGCGGTGATTCAAACGATAAAAAGCAAAAAATTACAATTTATAATAATATTACGAATTATAAATTGGTTGAATTAAAACCGAGCACTATATATCAACTACACCTATACGCATATTCGAATGCTGGCGAAGGAGAAGGGTAAAATTATTCAATTCAATCGAAAAATGGAACTTTTAATCGAATTTTAATAACATTTTCAGCTTATCTACCCAATTGGAGACTAAAGAACCTCGCAAACCATTAGTTCCGTCGTTCACATGGGAACCACAAAATGAACTTATTGGTTATGATGGAAATGTTCGCGTGAACTGGAAGCCAACTACAAATGATGGCTTGTCTGGAAGTCAATTTTATGTGAAGTTCGAAGACAAAAAGAATCATGACTGGTCGAAAACAAGTCGAATTATTAGTGAAGACTTCACTATCATCAATCTAAAACCAAAAGTAACGTATGAAGTGATTGTTGTCTCAGTCGACGGAAACTATGAAACGGAGAGCGATGTTCAATTGGTGTCAAAAGACATTTTCGGTATGTCATGAAATATTCCATTCAAATTCCATAAACTTTGAGATATTTTATTTCATTTCAGAGGGTACTGACAACACATTTAAGAGAAATTTGATAATAATTGGCATTGTAGTAGGGGCCATAGTTGTTCTCGTGGGTGTATGTTTTACTAAAAGCTTTTGTGCAAAGAAAAAGAATACTAACAGCTCTGAATAATAAAAATAATAATAGTGACATAAGATTGAAGATAGAGAAAGAGATGTTAAATCAATATTAATGGAATAAATATAAAATGATAATGAAAAATGTTCGAATTCGTTTTATTTAAAAAAAAATCCATGCGATTTTCACATTCACCAAAAATTAACGGAAAAAATGACATAAGCGCAAAAGCTTCCAAAATGTATGTCTCATCGTTGATTAGGTTGAAAAACGCGACACTAGCGCTAAAAGCACTGCTATAAATCGAAAATTGATTAGATAGAAAATGTCAAGAGATAGTTTCTTATCAAAGCGACCAACTCACATGATATTATTGTCAAAAAAAAATCAAAGGCAGTGTTTAAAAGATGGTATAAAATACATGAATTCAATAAAAGCCTATTAGTTTTGTTGAAATTTCAAACCTTCAGCAATAATACCGGAATCTGATCGCAAATACAAACGAATTACGCCTTCAATTTTGATATAGATTTTATCAATCAATTTCCATTGATTGTTATTTATTTTCATGATAATAAATATTTTAAAATGGGTTCCATCCATTTTGAAACTCTATGTGTGCTTTTATTTGTTTTTCATAAAACTAACGCTTTGGGTAAGTGATAACGATTGTAATTGTAAACCAAATAAATTGAATGCTTTTTAAATCTCGCCCATTCGAAAATAATTCAATAGACGCACCAAAAATAACGAAAACTCAGTGTCATGACCATGACGTGGAACTTTCATGGGAAATAAATGGATATACTGCTGATATTGATCACTATACAATTGAGCGAATCTCTTTAAAAGCAACGGAGGCCACTTGGAAGATAGCCGTTGATAAAGTAACTGAGACTTCCCTTACGGTTCCGTTGCGTCAAGGTGCCAAAAATATGTTTCGTGTCATTGCAAAAGATAGAAATGGAAAATCAAGCAAACCAAGTGAAACAAGTAAATATTGTACATGGAAACAAGATGTTCCATACACAAATCCAACTGGTGTTTTTTCGACCGGAGGTGTAGAACCAGGAATTTCAATCATTTCATGGAAAGCAATGCCAGAATCGGAGTATAATGGTCCTGGATTCTTTTACCGAGTTTTTTGGAAAAAGAATGGAAATAAAGAATGGATACAAGTAAACATCCCAGCTACACAAACACGATGTGTGATCGATGAAAAAGTATTCTTTCAATTTGAGTTCAAAGTGATTGCCGTAAATGAATTAGGTGAGTCGAATGCGATTCCAGAAGTACATACTGGTTATACTGGTGAGGATCGACCAAGTGCAGCGCCAAAACGATTTTCCGTTATTGTGACACCATCTAGTGATACACATGCAATCGCCACATTCAAATGGGATAGTGTTCCAGAATCAAATTTCAATGGACATTTGTGTGGATACAAAATTCAGATATGGAAAGCAAATAGTACAGACGCAGTATATGCAGTAACTACATATCGAAATGAATACACAGAAAAAATGAAAATCAATACACTGTACTATGCCACAATTCGAGCGATAAACTATCATTATTATGGTCCAATGAGCAATATTATTGAATTTAGTAGTGAATCAAATGTTCCGGATCAAATAAAGCGTCTTGAACAAATTCCATTTGGTTCGACTGCATTGAAATTGAAATGGGAACCACCAGTACGGTGGAACAGTCGACCATTCGGTTATAATATTTATTACAGAGGAATTAAAGAAGGGTATGGATTTCCACAGAGGAAAAAAGATATTTATAATCCAAATATTACGGAAACAAAATTATATGGATTGAGACCTAACACCAAATATCAACTGCATATTGCCGCTTGGGGAGCATCGTCCCATGGGACGCTGGGTGGCGAAGGAGTATCGTAAAATTTTTCGATAATTTTTTTTTCATCAAAATACGCAATTAATCGCATTTTTGTTGCTTTTTCAGCCTGCCATTCACTTTTGAGACAAAAGCACCGTCAGAACCAAATGTGCCATCGTTGACATGGGAACCACAAGATCCACTTATTGGTTACAATGGATCGGTTCGCGTCTATTGGAAGCCAATTATTCATGATGGCAATCCTGGAAGCTATTTTTATGTGAAGTACCGCATCAAAGACACTGATGAGTGGAGGAAAACAGAATACATTTATGATAATGACTACACTATCGTTATATTAAAACTACACGCAACGTATGAAATGGCTGTTGTGTCGGTCGATGGACGTCTCTACGGATCTGATTATTATGAAACGGCAAGTGCCATTCAATTAGTGTCAAGGGATATTTTCGGTATGAATTTGTACATGAAATTTTTTTTTATTTGAATCCCATAAAATTGAAACTTTCAAACATTTTCATTTTAGACAGAACTGAGAAGACATTAAAGAGATATGTTATAATAATAGTTGTATCAATTGGATTCTTAATAGTTGTAGTTACTGGTGGTCTCATTTTGGAAAAGAAGAGGAAAACGAAGAGTTCCGACGAAACAAATTAAAGAATAAGTGAATGAATATTTAAAATTGATGGAAACTCAAATAAATTTAAGATTATAGTGGAGAGAAGCATATTTGTTGTGTCATTTTTTTTAAATTACAGCTCTATTATGTGAACTATACTCGAAACTTCGGGAATGTTGTTTTGATTTGTTGAAAGTATTGGAATTGTTCAAGTTAAATATAAAGGATGTATGCTGCATTAGACTAAAATTAATTGCTTTGCTTCAGGTCAGAGATCTAGTCAAAGACAATGTCATTCAAATTGAATGCAACTTAATTGATTTCAATCGCAAATCACCGAAAAAGCATTTAATCTAATCGAAGATAAGCTAACGTGAACACTCCAAAATGCCAATTTCTTTGTGAACAATATTAGTCACACAGTCACGAGTTCAATGCATTAATTTTGGAATTTCGTTTGATTTGAAGAGTTTGAAATCGATTTGATATTTTAAACTAAGATAAGTTGATAACCTATCTATAATTCTAGAATTTATTTATTTATTAAGTACGTTTAGTGCAACACTTTAAATTTTTGACAAACATCGCAATTTAATTTTCGTTCAAAGTATCTAGATAAGTAATACATTTAATTCAAAGGAAAAAATTGTCTATGAAAAGATCGCTATGCGAGCGAAGTGAACGAGCGCTATTGTTAACGGTTATTCGTTTAAGCTTACATCTAGATTAGGTGACATCCACTTTAGAATGGCAACTTTTAGTGCCATTTCTAACCATTACCACATTTCAATGCATATGTTGAGGTAATTATCTGAACAAAAGTTTATAAGTACTTGAAATGATTAGATATTACATTTCATCCATTAAACATTTCACAAAGTATAAAATGTGTCATATTTATTGAAATAAGTTCAGTTTCATCGGAGCTTTTACCACGTTTGATTGAAAGTGTTCAATACGTACACTTTTGATCCAATTATATTGTAATAATTGTTCATTGGATTTAAAGAGAAGAGTGAAAGTGCTTTCAAAATGTGGTCAATCCAATTGAAAATTTGGTTTATGATTGCACTTGCAATTCATCAAAATCAAGTTCACGGTACGTAACGTAATTTTGTTCGTTTTAAAATAGTGTCAAGGAAAATAGTTTTAATTCATTGAATAATAAACTTTAAAAAAAATATGTGAATTTTTAAATTTTCAGCCGATTTGAGTCCAATCCAATCAACAATCATGCAACCAACATCACAAGCACAAGGTGAACCAGAAATAGAAAATTTCAAATGTGGCGAAAAAGAGGCTATGATTATATGGA